GGGGTCAAGCACTGGGGTCACTTTTACCTCTTGTGCACTTTACTTGAAACTTGCTGCTACTAAGTATTGTACCCCAAACACAATTTCGTTGCCTTTTTGACAATGACGATAAATTTAAATTGAAATTGAATTGAAATTGAATAGATGGTCTAGCATCTGACTTTTTTAAACACTTCTGGACCATCTTGGGATGGGACCTTCTGGATGTTTTTAAAGAGTGTTTTATAAAAGAGACGCTTCTGGCTTCCTGCAGGCGTGCAGTTCTTTCACTGCGTCCTAAGAAGGGAGATCTGACCCTTTTAAAAAACTGGAGGCCAGTAGCCCTTTTATGCACCGACTATAAAATTCCAAGGTCTTGTCTTGTCTGGGAAGAGGCTCCGCAGCATCCGATGCAGGTCCACCAGGCTATACAACAGCTTTTTCCCTGTTGCCATTAGACTGCTAAATTATTGAATCCTGTTCTTATCTTAAGCTGTATGCAATGAAATTTTGTGTGCACTCCGTACACACAAAATGACAGTAAAGTTGTCTATGTCTATTTCTAGACTGAGTCTCTCTCTCTCTATATATATATATACATATAAATAATTCGGAATTTAAAAACAATCATAATCAGTTAACTGTAAATATTTGTGCTCTTTATCCAGAAAACCCTCCAGTCACATCCACTTGTGAGGATCTGGTTATTAAAGTACAGACGCTGGTTTGGTGCTTCCTTATATCCTAAACATCAGGATTTATAATCATCACTTTAAAAGTTACAGACGGTTTTTTTGCCTATTTGCTTCCAAGATGTGTGTGTGAGTGGGTGAAGAAGGTGCATTAACTTAAAGCACTTTGTAGAAAGGTGCTTTATGGAGTTCAGTCTGTTTTCTTTTATTAGTTAACGGGCAGTTCTGTGTTGGGTCTAAATACGACTCCTAGTTCCTCACTATCAAGAGTTTAGTTATTAATCGACAGACCCAGGAAAAGGCATCAGAATAAAAGGCTTGACACAGAGGTTAAGTTTCACTCGTCTGCAGAGGAGGGAGAGAGATGAGGGGAGGCGAGCTGCTGCTCGCCGCCACTCATGGAAACTCACACCCAAATTCCTCAAGCAGTTGATTTTTATTAAACTGATAGTTGCTAAGCAGTGCACATATTATGGGATATAAAGGTATTGGACACCCAAGGTCAGTTTCTGTTATGCCCTTATAAGGTATTTCCTGGCAGTTAGGCTGTTATTGCAAGCTTGACCCTGGAAGACACAGATGGTAGACAAAACACACATTTCATAGCAGCTTGCTCATGGGTTTTAGCTTCACACCAATGTAAATACGAAAATAGCTTCTACATTCTGCCACATCCAAGATGGCGGACGCGCTGACGTATCCTAGCAACGGACCAACAGTCTGTCTTTGGAAAGATTAAATTACATTAAATTATGAGAAACTCATATCTCGTATCTCCTCCATTATGTCCAGCAGCGACCATACATTGGCAGGAAACTGCTGGGTTAAGAGAGCCGGTGTGGTGTTAGCTTTAGCCTAGCTCTCAGTCCTCCGCGCTCCCCCCGCCTTTGTTTACCATCCCGACGCCGCCTGCGAGCACTTCCGCCCGGCCGGGCAGAGTGCGTAGCCTCGGGTGTTCTGGCGGTCTCAAAGAGTCGAAAGTTGTCCATAAAACTGTCTGAAATACAAGAGTCAATATCCAGAAGCTCACATCGGGTGTACGATAAAGGCACAACCGTTCCTGACACCTAAAACAAGCAAGAAGTTCCACGTTAAAAGTCGCAGGAGTATGACTTGCTCACCTTGGCAGCGGGGTGGTGTAGTGGTTAACACGGTCGCCTCTCAGCCAGAAGGCTCTGGGTTCTAGTCCCGGGGCACCCGGGTTTTTTGTATGTTTGAATGTCTCCTCTCGCTCTGTCTGCGTGGATCCCCCCCCCCCCCAAAAAAAAAACCTGTCTGAGTTGGATCCAAGAAACCTGAATTATTTGTCAGAAACTAGGATCATTTGTCAGAGTTGCTTCAGAATTATTTGTCAGAGTTGAGTCGGAAACTAAAATTATTTGTCAGAGTTGAGTCCGAAGCCTTAATTATTTGTCAGAGTTGAGTCCGAAACTAAAATTATTTGTCAGAGT